CAAAGGAAAAGAAAAAAGTTTAAAAGTTGGGGGTCCTATGGTTTTTTTTTTTTTTTTTTTTTCTTTTTTTTTTTTTAGTGTCTTTGTTTTTATGCTCACCAAGTGAAAAAAAAAATCAGGATAAAAAAAAATATAGAAAAAGAGGTAATATTGTGAAATATTGTTACAATTCAAAATAACTCTTTTCTATGTGAATATATGTTAATGTAATTTATTGCTGTGATTTTCAGCATCATTACTCCAGTCTTCAGTGTCACATGATTCTTCTGAAATCATTCTAATATACTGATTTGCTGCTCAAGAAACATTTCTTACAATTATCAGTGTTAAAAACCGTAGTTCTGCTTCATATTTTTGTGGAAATATTTAGTTTGTTTGTGTTCCTTGATGAATAGAAAGTTAAATAGATCAACATTTATTTGAAATAGAAATCTGTTGTAACATTATAAATGTCTTTACTGTCACTTTTGATCAATTTAATAAACCCTTGCGAAATATAAGTATTATTTTAAGGAAAATTTTTTTACTGACCACAAACTTTTGAACGATAGTATATAAAAGAGGTTTAAAGGCACAGCAGTGAAAAAAATAGACACTCTAATTCTAAGAGAGGGTGGAATTGGCATGCAATCCAATAATTAAATCGTCAAGTCATTTAAAAAAAAATAAAGATTAGCCTATACTATGGCACACATGTGCATCACATGTATTATGGTAGCCTAAATAATCCGGTGCTGTGAACCAGAGATTAAGCGTCTGCTGGTTGTTTCTCTTCACAGCCGCCAACAGTCGTGTGCAGCATCTGCAAGAGAGACGGCCACCTTAAAGACGAATGTCCTGAAGACTTCAAGAAGATCGAGCTGAAACCCCTGCCGCCCATGACTGAGCGCTTCAGAGAAATCCTGGACGGACTCTGCATGCTGTGCTACCGTGAGCGCCGTCCCATGCTTTACCAGCATCTGTTTTAATACTCCAGCGCATTCCGATCAATCAGCTTGAGTGCATTTATTTGCATTTACCCTTACGTTTACTTCAGGCTCCGTTGTGATGTTTTTTGTGTTTGTAGGTGAGTTGTCACCATCTCTCGTCGAGCAGCAGAAGAGGGAGCAGATTCTGGGCAGTCTGGAGCGCTTCATCAGAAAAGAGTACAACGGTGTGGAAACACATTCATACATGTACAGCAGTGTTAACACAAAAAAAAGCTAAATAGTTTTCAGAAGCGGAAGTTGTCATATAGTCCATGGAAAAATTCACAGTTTTTATGATTATAAACAGATCGGTTAACTGCAGTATCCCTATTTTTTAAATTAAATTAATCTGTGTTCTGTGTTTTTGTTCAGATAAGGCCCAGCTCTGTCTGTTTGGCTCTTCTAAGAACGGCTTTGGCTTTCGTGACAGTGACCTGGACATCTGTATGACACTGGAGGGTCACGACACCTCTGAGGTAGAAATCCTCTTGCCCCTTCCAAAGGAGGGCATGCCATGTTTTATATTGATTTTTGTAAATATCTGTATGATTAGGCCAATATTGGAAACACACCTTATTTGTCTTTCATTTAATTTTTGTCATGCAAAATTTCAAAAGTACAAATAATGTGCATTATAATATGTCGATAACTGTTTTCCCTTACTTTAAATGGTGTTTTGTGTTTAAAAACATTGGAAAGGAGATCAGTTTGTATTATAATTTTTTTTTTAGCCAATTATTGATTCTCCTGATGTTTAACTTTCTCATTTTCCTTGTAGAAACTCAACTGTAAGGAGATCATTGAGGGTTTAGCCAAGGTGCTGAAGAAACACACAGGTACGGAGTGATTTATTTAGTGAAACTGAAGTCAGTATGAGTTGATTCTTCAGCGCTGACAGATTCATTTGTTTGTGTGGTTCAGGTTTAAGGAATATTTTGCCTATCACAACTGCTAAAGTGCCTATAGTGAAGTTTGAACACAGGCAGAGCGGACTGGAGGGAGACATCAGCCTCTACAACACACTGGTTGAGACACACTCTCTCTTATTATATTATATTATGTGTCTTTATGAAAAATTGGCTACTTTATTATAATTATTATTATAATTTTTTTTTTTAACGTTGTTTTTGTGTCAGGCCCAACACAACACCAGAATGCTGGCCACATATGCTGCTATAGACCCTCGTGTGCAGTTTCTGGGCTACACTATGAAAGTATTTGCCAAGGTAAGACCATCATAAATGTAATTTTAATTCATAGAATGCAGATAGTTGCGTAAAATATTTATTTATTTTATTTATTTAGTCATTTAGCAGACACTTTTTTCCAAAGCGACTTACAAATGAGGATTTAAATTAATCAATTTTTTTCAGTGAATCGACCAAAACCGGCTTTCAAAATGGTATGAACGATTCAGTAGTGGATTGGTCTGAATTAAGAAATTATTTCACATGCAAAGGAAAAAGTTTAAAAGTTTGGGGTCACTAGGTTTTCTTTTTTTTTTTTTTTTTTTTTTTTTTTTTTTTTGTGTTTTTTTTTTTTTGCTCACCAAGGGAAAAAAAAAAAAAGGAAAAAAAAAAAAAAAAAAAAAAAGGTAATTTCACAGGTCTCTGTATACCCCACATCACTTAGCCATCATCTCTGCTAAACCCTCACACATCCTTACAGCCTCCGGAAAAACGCACTAGGAGTAGGAACGATTCTTCTGAAATCATTCTAATATACTGATTTGCTGCTCAAGAAACATTTCTTACAATTATCAGTGTTAAAAACCGTAGTTCTGCTTCATATTTTTGTGGAAATATTTAGTTTGTTTGTGTTCCTTGATGAATAGAAAGTTAAATAGATCAACATTTATTTGAAATAGAAATCTGTTGTAACATTATAAATGTCTTTACTGTCACTTTTGATCAATTTAATAAACCCTTGCGAAATATAAGTATTATTTTAAGGAAAATTTTTTTACTGACCACAAACTTTTGAACGATAGTATATAAAAGAGGTTTAAAGGCACAGCAGTGAAAAAAATAGACACTCTAATTCTAAGAGAGGGTGGAATTGGCATGCAATCCAATAATTAAATCGTCAAGTCATTTAAAAAAAAATAAAGATTAGCCTATACTATGGCACACATGTGCATCACATGTATTATGGTAGCCTAAATAATCCGGTGCTGTGAACCAGAGATTAAGCGTCTGCTGGTTGTTTCTCTTCACAGCCGCCAACAGTCGTGTGCAGCATCTGCAAGAGAGACGGCCACCTTAAAGACGAATGTCCTGAAGACTTCAAGAAGATCGAGCTGAAACCCCTGCCGCCCATGACTGAGCGCTTCAGAGAAATCCTGGACGGACTCTGCATGCTGTGCTACCGTGAGCGCCGTCCCATGCTTTACCAGCATCTGTTTTAATACTCCAGCGCATTCCGATCAATCAGCTTGAGTGCATTTATTTGCATTTACCCTTACGTTTACTTCAGGCTCCGTTGTGATGTTTTTTGTGTTTGTAGGTGAGTTGTCACCATCTCTCGTCGAGCAGCAGAAGAGGGAGCAGATTCTGGGCAGTCTGGAGCGCTTCATCAGAAAAGAGTACAACGGTGTGGAAACACATTCATACATGTACAGCAGTGTTAACACAAAAAAAAGCTAAATAGTTTTCAGAAGCGGAAGTTGTCATATAGTCCATGGAAAAATTCACAGTTTTTATGATTATAAACAGATCGGTTAACTGCAGTATCCCTATTTTTTAAATTAAATTAATCTGTGTTCTGTGTTTTTGTTCAGATAAGGCCCAGCTCTGTCTGTTTGGCTCTTCTAAGAACGGCTTTGGCTTTCGTGACAGTGACCTGGACATCTGTATGACACTGGAGGGTCACGACACCTCTGAGGTAGAAATCCTCTTGCCCCTTCCAAAGGAGGGCATGCCATGTTTTATATTGATTTTTGTAAATATCTGTATGATTAGGCCAATATTGGAAACACACCTTATTTGTCTTTCATTTAATTTTTGTCATGCAAAATTTCAAAAGTACAAATAATGTGCATTATAATATGTCGATAACTGTTTTCCCTTACTTTAAATGGTGTTTTGTGTTTAAAAACATTGGAAAGGAGATCAGTTTGTATTATAATTTTTTTTTTAGCCAATTATTGATTCTCCTGATGTTTAACTTTCTCATTTTCCTTGTAGAAACTCAACTGTAAGGAGATCATTGAGGGTTTAGCCAAGGTGCTGAAGAAACACACAGGTACGGAGTGATTTATTTAGTGAAACTGAAGTCAGTATGAGTTGATTCTTCAGCGCTGACAGATTCATTTGTTTGTGTGGTTCAGGTTTAAGGAATATTTTGCCTATCACAACTGCTAAAGTGCCTATAGTGAAGTTTGAACACAGGCAGAGCGGACTGGAGGGAGACATCAGCCTCTACAACACACTGGTTGAGACACACTCTCTCTTATTATATTATATTATGTGTCTTTATGAAAAATTGGCTACTTTATTATAATTATTATTATAATTTTTTTTTTTAACGTTGTTTTTGTGTCAGGCCCAACACAACACCAGAATGCTGGCCACATATGCTGCTATAGACCCTCGTGTGCAGTTTCTGGGCTACACTATGAAAGTATTTGCCAAGGTAAGACCATCATAAATGTAATTTTAATTCATAGAATGCAGATAGTTGCGTAAAATATTTATTTATTTTATTTATTTAGTCATTTAGCAGACACTTTTTTCCAAAGCGACTTACAAATGAGGACAATAATAGCAGTCAAAACTAACAAAAGAGCAACAATATATAAGTGCAAATGACAAGTCTGTGCTAGAGTTAGAGGGTCAAATAAAGGTGAAATAAATATTCACCTTTATATATATATATATATATATATATATATATATATATATTTTTTAAAATGTGTCAATTTTTTAAATTAGTTTCAGTTTATTTATTTTTGTTATTTTATTACATCCAAGTTTAACTAAAAGAAAATGATAAATATTTCCCTGGCAACTAGTTGAAAAAAATTATCATTATATAAAATGATCAAAAATCACATATATTTAGGTCAAATAAATATTCCCTGCAATATTCAAACATGCCCATTCAGACAGTTAGTGCTAAAGGAATTTGTGCGTGAGTAGTTCATCTACAGTAGTACAGTGTTAATTTTGACAGGAAATTTTGATTTAGTCTTTATCTTGAGACGAAAATGCTTAATAGTCTTAGTCACATTTTAGTCATTTGAGTCTTTCATAGTTTTAGTCGATGAAAAGTCGTTGCATTTTTGTCAACTTTTAGTCATTACTTTTAGTCAAACTGCAATTTTTATATGTAGTCTTCAAACAAAAATAGTCAGTAATTCTTCTCTCTTTAAACCAAATCAATTAAGCTTATGGGAAATTTGAATCAAGGATTGAATTTGGAAAAACTTTAATAAATGATGACAAGTTTCTTTTTTGGGTGAACTATCCCTTCAACAGTAGTGAAAAGGGAGCAACTTATAAAAATGATAGTTGTTCATATATAATATATATAATTGATCATTTTTGAAAAAGAAGCAGAATAAGACAAATACGAAAGAGATACAAATTAAACTCATCTTTCAGATACAGTAGGTTTACTTAACATATTTATTTAACATCTTTTGTTGGTTAACATTAATGACACGGATAGGTACTTAATTAGGAATGCTTTCCCTTTAAGACGGAAGGTATGCATGTAATACTAACACGCGTTCAGTTATCACCCACCTATTTACATTCACTTAATCCATAACCGACTGTATTTGCGTGAGATACTCTACACGATAGACATTTGGACTGCTGTGTGTGTATTTGAGCACTGAGAACTGATTGCGTGCTGTATATGAGAACTGAAGAATTGGAGCGTGCGCAAGAGGAGAGCACTTCTATCAGCGCGATTCCGCCTATCCTTCACTAACTTTAAGTTAATCTACAACGAATTGTGACTCCCGGGAAAAGCGATCCATCCACTGCGGCTGCCATACTGAGAATAGATATGCAAACGCCCCTTATCCGATTGCAATCTAATGACAGGGCATTTTGAAGGACAAGACCGTAGCCTATAGGATCTATTTTGAATGTCTGGTAGTCCTCAAATAACATTATAGTCCCGTCTCGTCTTGTTAACGAAGACGCAGCATAGTTTTTATCATCAGATATTAGTTTTAGCTCGTCAATGTCTCCTCTTAGTCACAGAAAAATTTTTTGTTAACGAATATTTTTCATCGTCATCTTCGTTGACGAAATTAACATTGCAGTAGTACTTAAATTACATGCGCTATTTTTGATTATTACATCTTCCTAAAAACACTCAACATTTAGTAGACCAAAAATTGTACTTAATGAATTTATTTACAAAATTTCAACTTGCATTTTAATTTAACTATTTTTCTGACGTTTCAAATGTTTGGGGTCTGTAATTTTTTTTGGAAAGAAATTAATACTTTTATTGAGTAAGGATGCATTAAATTGATCAGAAGTGGCAGTAAAGACATTAATAATGTTACGAAAGATTTTGCTTTCAAATAAATGCTGTTCTTTTGAACTTACTGTTCATCAAAGAATCCTGAAACAAAATGTATAACAAAAATATGAAGCAGCACAAATGTTTTCAACGCTGATAATAATCAAATGCTTATTGAGCATCAAATCCCTGAAGGATCATGTGATACTGAAGACTGGAGTAATGATGCTGAAAATTCAACTTTGATCACAGGAATAAATTACATTTTAAAATCTAAATAGCAAACAGCTATTTTAATTTGTAAAATATGACTGTAATTACTCTATTTTTGATCAAATAAATGCAGCCTTGGTGAGCAGAAGAGACTTTTTTTCTCATAGACATAAAACAAAAAAATCTTGCTCGCCCAAACTTTTGAACAATAGTGTATACATTGAAGAAAATGGTGAAGGAAAAATTCTTCTTATTATTAATTATACAGTTACTAAGAGCTCATAAAACTGTTATTTAATAATAAAGTGTAAATTTAGTGTACCATGTCACTGCTCTCTTTGATAAGTTTTCTCCTTATGTGAATGCATAGGAAATTACTGGATGCTATAGTATTGATTACATGCACAGTAGGAGAAAAAGGATGTAAATGTGTGTGTTTTGCAGCGCTGTGACATTGGCGACGCCTCCAGAGGAAGTCTCTCCTCCTATGCTTACATCCTCATGGTGCTGTATTTCCTACAACAGAGACAACCACCAGTCATCCCTGTGTTACAAGAGGTACAGCACCCTTGCACAGAAGCACTGATGCTTCACTGATCATATCGGTACCATGGTAATGAATGATTGTGTTCTTCTTCAGATATTCGTTGGGAACACTGTTCCTCAGAGGATGGTGGATGGCTGGAACGCTTTCTTCTTCGATGATCTTAATGAGCTGGTAAGCAGGCAATAATGCAGTTTTGTTTGTCACAGTACGTTGAAGAGGTTTCATTCTACTTGTATTGTGCCATTTTCATTAATTTAATTGTTTATTAGATATGAACCATTTCATATTGACTTTTAGCCAATGTTGAGGTAACGTCACTGAATGTGGCAGTTAGAGTTTGACTTCTAATATTTTGCAATATTTCATTTCAACAAGACGATCAAGATTGTGTTGCGTGACCCATAGCAATGTTAAATGTTATATGCTGTGTTTTTACATGACTGTTTATTTTGAACAGATCCCTTTGACTTGAATCACAATCTTGGGGCCGGTGTTTCTCGCAAAAGTAAGCAAAACTATCCCATTCCGCATATCTTTGTGTTTTTCTGCTCTAAACAGCAGTTCTAGTAAACGTATGGTGGATTATGTCTCACTCGTTCTCTCTGCCTTTTATTACACAGTGACTAACTTCATCATGAAGGCCTTCATCAACGGCAGGAAGCTGTTTGGCACCCCGTTTTACCCTCAGCTGGGAACAGAGGCCGTGAGTCACATTGAAACTGCTCCTGAGCGCCATCAACCTTCATTTCATACCTCGTTTCATCTTCGTGTCTCTGTCTCTCTGTCAGGATTACTTCTTTGACTCGAAGGTGCTGACGGACGGAGAACTGGCTCCTAATGACCGCTGCTGTCGGATCTGCGGGAAGATCGGCCACTATATGAAGGACTGCCCAAAGAGGCGCAGGTGCTGTTCACACACGCAGAAACGATTACCTTTTACAGCGAAGTGCTTAGCTGATCTAGTCTGTTTTCAGAATGAAGAGAAAGGAGAATGAGCGTGAGGAGGAGGTCAGGGAGGAGGACAGGGAGCCCAGAGAGAGACGCTGCTTTCAGTGTGGTGATATGGGTCATGTGAGGAGAGACTGTCCCGATTACAAACACCTCCGTCAGAGAGCAGCGGCAGGACCAGGTACAGCTCAAAACTTAATTCAGTCGTTTCTTCTGTCTGCTGATTTGTTCATTAATGCAGCCTCTCTAGAGCTGAACTTCTCAGACCGTACAGTTTATGAATATATTTAATAAATAAATATAATAAGCATTATCTGTCTATCTAGCTATCTATCTGTCTATCTGTTTGTCTGTCTGTGTGAGTATAGATATATAATTCTATTTTAAAAAATTCATTTTATAAATGTTTTATTTTAAAGATATTTTATCTGTCGTTTCCAAGTAGATTTAACATGTGTAATGCATTAAACTATGTTAAAGAATGGTATTATTAATTATTATAAAAGTAATCAAATTATTATAGTAATTGTCACTAAATGCACAAATAAAAATGATAAATTATATATATTTTTGTTATTTATAATTATAACAAAAATAATCTGTTATTTAGAGACAAGTAATTACAAAAATAATTAGATTACTTCATATTATAATTATCAATAATATAATAAGTAAACAAATACATACTATCAGTTATGGATTTTCTGTGTTATTTAGTGACTAGCAATTACAAAAAAAATTAAGAAACTCCATAACTGATAGTATGTAGTAATTGTCACTAAATGCACAGAAAAACTTAAATTTCTCCGTAATTACTTTTCACTAAATATGCGTTGAGAATAGTATATATTTGTAATTCTAATATTAATAATCTAATTTGTTGTAATTGTCACTAAATACGCAAAGAAAAACAGTAACTTGTATTTTTTTTATAATAATAATAATAAATGATTAGTATGTATTTTGATATTATATTTAGCCAACGCCACTGAATGTGATGCACTTTTAGTTTGAGTTCTAATATTCAGTGTTTATTCACTTGGACACTGTAAACAAATTATGCATTCCGATGCATTTTCAAGTGCACGGAGCATGCATTATTTAATGTGTGTGTTTTTGTGTCCAGCGGCGGCGTCTGCCAGAGCTCCATCAGAATAAGGAGACGGTCGGCGAGCTGTGGCTCGGCCTGCTGCGCTTCTACACAGAGGAGTTTGATTTTAAAGAGTGCGTCATCTCCATCCGCCAGCGCAAACGCCTCACCACCTTTGAGAAACAGTGGACGTCCAAATGCATCGCAATCGAAGGTTTGAAACGCTCATTATCGGCATACAGAAACTTTGCTGTCGCTCTGTTCTGAAATACACAAACATTAGAATCACTCGTTTTATTCTGTTTATTCATTTGTTTATTTCATTAATTCAACCTCTCTAGATCTGCCTTTCTCAAGTTTTTTTTATTTTAATTAAAGACTATTTTCATAAGCCCAAAATGGATACATAATTCATTCTAATATCATAAAAAGCATAGATTTTAGAATTATATTTTGTACTATTTTCATTTTGTACATTTTGTATTCATTTCTTTTTTTATAATAGTATTTTATAGTTATCCCATCCTTTTCCCCCCCAAGTAGATTTGCAATATTTAATGCACTAAAATACAGTAAACATTTCAGTTTTTAATTTATATATTTTTATTATATTATTTATGAATTAATTTGTAATTAATTAAATGTAATAACATATACTCACTCCTGTTTATATTATTTGTTTATAATTATTAATAGGAAATCTATTTAAGTAGTTAATTATTTAGATTTGTTGCATTATTTATTTTGTAATTATATTAATAATTATCTAATTATTTTAGTTTACTTTTCAGTAAATATACAAATGATGACTGTTAGTATGTATTTATAATATTTAGAAATTATATAGTGTGTATAATAAAGTAAATATTATTTTATATTAATTTATTAATCATAAATAATATTTATAATTATATTAATATTTATAATAAAAAATAATACATGTTTTTTAATTAACCTTTTTCACACAAAAAAATTATTTAGCAATTAGATGTGTTGTATATATGAATTATATTTCTGTTTGTAATTTTTTTAGAATTTATATTTAACAAACATCCTTTTCCCCCCCAAGTAGATTTGCAATATTTAATGCACTAAAATACAGTAAACATTTCAGTTTTTAATTTATATATTTTTATTATATTATTTATGAATTAATTTGTAATTAATTAAATGTAATAACATATACTCACTCCTGTTTATATTATTTGTTTATAATTATTAATAGGAAATCTATTTAAGTAGTTAATTTTCACTAAATACACAAAGTAATAATTGATAGTTTATATTTTTGTTTTTATTTATTATATTTTATTAATTAAATTTTTTATATTTTATCATTAAGTGTATGTTAATTTTAGGTATTCCATTGTTTCCAAGTACATTTTAAAATGTTTAATGCACTAAAATACAGTAAATATTTATATTTTTGTTATATTACTTGTAATATTTGGTTTTACTTTATTAAATATGCAATAATTATACAATAATGTATATTTATAATTATATTAATATTTATAATAAAAAATAATACATGTTTTTTAATTAACCTTTTTCACACAAAAAAATTATTTAGCAATTAGATGTGTTGTATATATGAATTATATTTCTGTTTGTAATTTTTTTAGAATTTATATTTAACAAAGTATAATTAGTAATTAATTTTCACAAACTAGTCTAAGAAAAATTGAAACTATATACATATAGAAATGTATATTTATAATTATATTAAAAAGTAATCTAATTATTCTTAATAATTGTTTCACTAAATGCACAAAGACAAATGGTGTATAATTATAATTATTATTATAAAAAAATCACGCGAATATGAACGTGGTTTTGCGCAGCTCATCATTGAACAACGGCTCTGTGTAGTTAATGCTGCTCAAAAAAAATTGTTTTATACATTTTAAAATAATAATTCCAGTATAGAATTATTATCCACAATAGTGTTACTTTTTACTGCACTTTACTGTTTACTGTTTTTCTTACCTATAGTGGCTAATGGATCGGAAGTCTCACACATTCATAGACATCAGTTTAGCTCTTTGTCACAAAATGTGGATGATTATTGCAAAATAATTTTATAATCAGTAATTTAATATTGTTTTGTCATTGCTGATTTTATAATGCACTTGATTTTATGTATTTTTTCCTTTACAAACAATAGTCTTGAGGCGTCTGTGTCCAGTAGGGGGCAGCATATACAAGTATTTGACTATGATTGCTCTTTATTTTTTCCAGTCCCTCACATGGTCCGGGCCATGGCGAGCTCTCAGTCCATCCCCGTTCCTCAAGGTGCTTCAGTCCAGGATCGGGCCGGACGGACCAGGCAGCCCTCTGAATGTGTAAGGACCAGAACCCTCTACTGTCAGCTGTGGCTGAGTGATAGAGGTCCACCGTCTTTGAGAAGTAGTTGATGTTTCTTAGTATTTTATTGTATGCTTTGAATTTAATTTCGTTTGCCAGTCAAATGAAATTTCAACCAAATAGTTTGGACTAAACAATACTGGTCACAAAAGTACAGTAAAAATTGTAAAATTTTGGTATTTTCTGTACCGGAAGCTCCTAACACCAAGACAAAGTCCTTGTGTGTGTGTGTGTGAACACACTTGGCAATAAAGCTCTTTTTGATTCTGATTCTGATTCTGAAAATATGGTTTAATTTTGAAAAATGTATATTTGATCTATGTATTATTTATTTCTAGTTAAAATTAATCTTCAACAATTTTCAACAAACAACATTTTTTTAATTTAATTTATATATGTATTTAGATTTGTTGCATTATTTATTTTGTAATTATATTAATAATTATCTAATTATTTTAGTTTACTTTTCAGTAAATATACAAATGATGACTGTTAGTATGTATTTATAATATTTAGAAATTATATAGTGTGTATAATAAAGTAAATATTATTTTATATTAATTTATTAATCATAAATAATATTTATAATTATATTAATATTTATAATAAAAAATAATACATGTTTTTTAATTAACCTTTTTCACACAAAAAAATTATTTAGCAATTAGATGTGTTGTATATATGAATTATATTTCTGTTTGTAATTTTTTTAGAATTTATATTTAACAAAGTATAATTAGTAATTAATTTTCACAAACTAGTCTAAGAAAAATTGAAACTATATACATATAGAATTATGTATTTACTGAGTATATAGAATTATATATATAAAATGATGTATATACGCTGATATTTACAGATGTTGGCATGGTATTGGCATTAAAATTGTGATATTCAAGGTTATGCTTAATTTTTTGTTTGCCAAAAAATCATTCACCCAGCAACAGAACATACATTTTCATATTTTCATTATGGTTTTTAGATGAACTGACGCTTTTTCTGTGTTTCCTTTCAGTCTGATACGCGTCAGACTCCTCCGTACTCCCCTCAGCCGTCTCCCTACAGCCAGGCATCCGTCTCTCCGCAGAACAGCAAGCCTTCCTCTGCATCCTCTACCTCCAAACCCTCCCAACCGCAGCCGCAGGTTCCACAGGTCCAGCTCCCCATCTTCAGCTTTCCCCACTCCCACCCGGGCCAGTATCACACCGGGCTCTCGGCGCTGGGCCTCCTGCCTGCCCACCCCCAGCAGCCGCCCCTCACCTCGGCCTCCTGGCCCATCCACGGCCCTCTCATCCAGGGCTCCGGGGTCTCCACCGCCTCCGGCCACCCGTCCTCTCCGGGCCTGAAGTTCGCCGTCCGGGGCGGCAGAGGCGGGCCAGCGGTGAGCCCCGCCCCAATGAACCTGAACGACCCCAGCATCATCTTCGCTCAGCCGTCGACGGGACGGGCGGCTGGTGGAGTGGGCGGCGGCCCCGCCAGAGAAAGGGGGCACCCCTGGCACAATCACCATCTCAATCCGGGG